TCTCAAGCTTCAGATATCAATCCCCCGACTCGTGCCGCTCATGGAGCTGGGATGAGAGGCCCAGGGCACCACGGCCAACTTTTAGCGTTGAAATAGGGTCTCCCTGATTTTTTTCTCCAACCTGGCCTTGATACATAATCTTCTCATCTTTAACCTCCCTAGTAGCTGGGATTACAAGTGGGAGCTAATATACTCAACTATGCAAACTTTTAAATCCTCAAATATGTTTTCACTTTTGTTGTTTTCAATACTTAATGTTCAAATAGGTCTTCGATGCACTAGCTCATCCTGGAAAGCCTACTTGATGGGCTATGCCATGCTTATAAGGCTTCCAACAACAGCACAAGAGAAGTCACTGGGCGTGAAATTTAGGAGAGGGAAGAAGAGGCACACTCCACTGAATGGGTACCACTGCCTCCCTCATCCCTGCATCTTGGAATGCTTCTAATTCCAAATAGACACTGATGCAGGAGACTCTGAGGCCCATGAGTGGGTCCCTCAATTTCAAACCCCACAGGCTCCCAGGACAGCCTACAATGGAGCAGGCAACCCAGCCAGCACTGGGCCAAGGTCTAATGGCTGTGCTCTTGCACCACCTGGTGGCTGTTTAATTTCAGGTCAGTGTTATCTGTCAATGAAGCCAGACAGTACCTAGATCTCCTTAGAACTAGGTCTGCAGCATTTCAAATGAGCATGGGGGATGTGTGATCAGTTGAAGCATGGAGGAGGCAGCCAATCCTGAGATCAAGCTCCCAAGACAAGAAAGCTCTCACTGCATGTGCAAGGCGCTCCCCAGCATGAACCACACAGCAGCCTCTGCATGTCTGAAACCCTCTACCCAGTCCCAGAAAGGGAACCTTGGGCTTAATAACTGACTTCAAATGCTACACTTGATGGTCCCGTGCAGACATTTCCTACAGATCACTCAAGGGTCTGGAAGTCTAGGTAGCTAAAATTTATGCATTTGGGGGATTACAAACATTTTTCTTTGTAGTGGAATTTGCAAGTACAGGAATCCGTGAGTCATGAGGACTGACTGCATATCTCAAACCCTTCTGAATTTAACATTCTCCATTATCTTTCCCTCCCTCCCACAGCCAAATCTATTTGTTTATCTCCTTTGTGAACTGCCCCTGCCTTGGGGAGAGATGCTCACTTCCACTTTGAGCAAATCCAAAAGCTACCTGTGGCTTTTCTAATGTGTGCTCCCAGAGAAGAAGTGGAAAGGAGCATGAGCTAAGTGCTCCTGAGAGTGAGGAGGCCCATCGGCTAACTACTCCCCAAAATGAGAAGGAACATTGACTAGGTGCTCCTCAGAGTGAGAAAGACCATCGGCTAAGTACTCCCTGGAACAAGAAGGATCGTAGACTAAGTGCTCCCTGGGTTGAGAAGGAACATGGGCTAGGTGCTCTCTGGAGTTGGACCATCAGCTAAGTATCCCCTGGAGTGAAGAGGGCCACTGGCCAAGTGCTCCCTGGAGTTAGGACCATCAGCCAAGTACTCCCTAGGCCCAGGCCCTATGCTGGCCACTAGTCCACAATCTCACAAGGTCTCCAATGATCCTAAACTCACAAAGTTGTTGCCAGTTTCACAGCTGAAGAAAGCGAAGGGCACACAGGTTGAGGACAGACCACTGGCCCATGGGCCAGAAGGGAGACAGCTAAAATTTCAATCTAGATCCACTGGACTCCCAAGCCTGCTTGGAGGCAAAACAACATCATGCAAATCTCAAAAGGAATCTCTAATCTCAAACCAGGACAGTGAGTGGAAACAGGCAAGGTTATCTTGCTTGGTGAACAGAGAATCAGGCAGAACTCTACGTACAATTCCAGGGTGTCCCCGGCCTGCCCTGAGCCAGCTGACAGTGTTTCTGCCACATGGCCTGTAGGTAGCAGAGTGAGCACATGAGTTTGCTCCTAGTACTTAAGAAAGTTTGCCTGGCTGAGTGTGTAAAAGTGAAAGCAGCTTTCTAAAGTTATTGGCTTGCTGCCCTATAAATCATTAATCAACAGTCCTTCCAGTTTCTCAACTGTCTGATGCAAGATCTTGGCCTTGGGGAAGTTCTAAAACTAAAAGCTAAAAGAACATCATGAATATCTAAACTAACTATCTAAACTGGAAGAGTATCATATATAGTAATAATAATTTTAAAAAGAAAACCCTATGTCTCCTGTTGGTTATTGTCCGTTTGAGTTCTACTTTTTTTCCAAAATAACTTTACAAGTTGTTGCAGGAAAGTATGTGTTGGGGGGGGCGGGGAGAGAATTAGTCCTACAAATTCTACCCCTCCCATCTCCACCCCCTGGAAGTACTGGTTGTAAACTCAGAGCCTCATCTTTGCTTGCAAGCTACCACTCAGGCCATGCCCCCTGCTAGCTGAGCCACACCATTACCACTTGAGCCACACCCACAACATTAGAGGTTCAAATTATTCTACAGGCCAGAAAACCAGACCAAGTCGATGTCCAATGCAACCCTACATCACTCTTCATTCAGCACTCATGAGACAGGGCACCCTCCTGGCATAGAAAACAGAGACAGAGATGTCCCAACACCCTAAGTGAGTCATCTGACATAGACGGAGCCACACTGACTCATGGTAGAAACTGGTGATTTTATACAAGGACCAAGTCTGGAAATAAAAAGAGCTATCTTACCCACTCTCTAGCCCCTTCCCATTTACAAGCCTAGGCCTGTTCGATCTTCACACCCTCCTTTCCCTATGACTCTGCTCTCTGCTGCCAATCATGAAGGACTAGAGCAGAAATACAATCAGCCCTGAAAATGGCAGACATTTTTGACATAGTTCGTGAGAAATCAAAGCCTTGAACTCTCTCTGGAAATTTGACTTGAAGAATATGGATTATGCAAACTTCCAGGGAATTTAGACATGCCTTGCTCAGGACACAAAAGTAAACTTAGAAGGCAGAGGAGTGAAGTCCCTTCTTCACCAGGCTGAATGTCTGGGAAAGAGCTCTGTCAGGTGAGCAAGAACAGCTTGGTCATCATCACAAATCTGCACCTGTCCTGTCAGTCATGACCCTATTCACCAGCATTTTTTAACTTCAATTCAACTAAACAGTCAAATGGAACTCCCAGGTCAAAATTCAGGATATGATAGAACAAAAATGATGTCAGAGTATCATTGCAGGGCAAGCCAAAAAGCTGTGTATGTCGTAAAAAAAAAATCCCTTATTAGGAAGGACATTGAGACTAACACTGCAAACTTAATTCTTAACTAAAGAGGTACTAAGGAGAGGATTTTAAGATAGTTTGACCATGGAATTACTAGATGTTTATTGGAAGCAACTGAGCCCTATGGAAAGCTTTGAAAGTATTTATCATAAAAATGAGTTTTATAAAGTCATCCTAATAATGTGATCAGGGTTATGTGTGCATAAATAATGGGTGCAGTACTGTAATTGCAGATGAGTAGGTGGTTTCAAAACACTGAGTCAGAAAAAATAAAAAAAGCTTAAGGACAGCACACAGCCCCAGGACTGCTACAAAAAAAAAAAAAAGTTAAGGATTCTATTCAAAGAGAGAGGCAAAAGAATTGAATAAAGCTAAAATTTCAAAAACTTGATGAAAACTATGAACACACAGATCTAAGTACACAGCATGTGTGTGGGTCAGGTTGGGGGCAAAGGAAAAGACACCAAAAGTGATCATAATCAAGCCCCTCAGGGATTCTGAGGGCAGCAGAAAATAGCAACAGGAGAACAGCATATTTCTCATCAAAAGCAAGTGAGAAGACAGTAGGGCAACATTTTCAGGGGAGGGGAGGGAGAGGGGAGGCAGGGATTCAAATTAGAATCTTATGTGCAGAGAAAGTAACTTTCAAGTTTAGTTAACTTTCAAGAGAAGAAACTCTCAGAAACAAAAGCTGACAGAGTATGTCACACAATAAGAAATTTAGGGAAAATCAGAACAGTTAGAAATGGAGACAGACATAAATAAAGGAAGACTTCTCAGACATGCCAACTACATGTGTAAGTGCATGGAAATTTTTCTTATGATTTAAGCCTTTTCAAAAGACAGTGGTTTAGGGGCTGGGAAGGTGGCTCAGTGGTAGAGCGCTTGCCTTGCATGCCTGAGGGCCTGGGTTCGATTCCTCAGCACCACATAAGCAAAAAGAAAAAAGCCGGAAGTGGCGCTGTGGATCAAGTGGTAGAGCGCTAGCCTTGAGCTGAAGAGCTGAGGGACAGCGCCCAGGCCCAGAGTTCAGGCCTCCCCCCCCCCCAAAAAAAAAAAAAAGACAGTGGTTTAAAGTAAACTATAGGGCGGAATTTGTACTTTATATATAAAATTTATACTTTGTGTATGTATACATATGTAAGGATATACATATATAGTTTATGTATATAGTTTATGTACATATACATGAAGTAAAAAGTCTGATAAATTATAAAGTACAGAAGATAAGAAGTAGAGGCACATTCCTGTAAAGTTTTTATAACATGCATAAACTGGTGTTATTGAGGGGAAAAAAAGAGGCTGTTCTGGACACTTTAGATTCAGATTCACAGACTGAAAAAAACAAATAATCAACAACAACAAAAATGCCCAAAGGATAACAAGCATATTGGTGTCTTCAGCAAGACAAAGCTCTCAGGAAAACATAAATTGTACAAATCTTGTGATGTGTTACATACGTTCCAGGACTTGGCCTGTGTAAGTTATTCAGTCCCACACCAAATCGTAAGACGCATCCAGAACTGTCTCCATCCCTCAGCCCCATCTGAAGGAGCAGGTCTGAGGAAAGCCAATGCGTTCCAGACTGATTATTCTTGGCTACACTTAATCACCACCGAGTAAACAAACGCAGCACTCACTCACTCTTGTGCAACTTATTCCATCCCCTGCAGCCAGAAGAAACTGTCATGTGATGCTACTTAACATCTGGAAATGTGGAAGCGATTTTACAGAGCACACAAGGACCACACGCTTGTGGCAGCGGCTGAGGTCACCCGGGGAGTGGAAGGAGAGAACTCACTTACAATGAAGCCAAGTTTCTTGTAATCCCGGGTGTACATGGACTTGCGTTTCTCCAAGCTGCTGCTGCTATTATTAGGTTCAGTCTCCGCATCAAAAGCAATTCTTCGAAGTTCAAATATGATGTCTCTTTGAGCCTAGATTGAGGGAGGGAGAGGAATCTGCTGTCATTGTGCAAAGTGACATCAATTCTCTTTTTCTTCACCCCCAGAGTCCAAATGAATCATGCTTTAGAGTAAAAGAAAACCAAATAAAAGTCAAGCCATGTTCTAAATGAGAGCTGAGCACACTTTGCCCTTTGCCCCTCCCCCAGCTTCTCAAGCTTGGCATCTCTCCAGTGACCCCAGCTGCCATCTCATGTGGAATATTGGTAACCAGTTCTAGGAGCCTGGCCTAGATGAGGTCCTAATTGGGAAGGGAGGAAGTGAGGGGCGTAGGCTGAGGTAGAGTCTGGGAGGGCCCACTGCTACCTACAAAGCAAGAGGCTCACAAGGCCCGTGAGCAGTTCTGCAGTCGCAATGGATCTTTTACTCCACTAATCAAGGACACATCATCAAAACTAACAGGAAACCAAAATAAAAGGAAGATCCCAAAGAAGAACCAACCCCTGTGCCCTTCCTTGTCCATCCATAGTAAATGGATGAACACATGACATTCACATACAGCAGGAACAGAATTCCATAGTGCCGGTGGCTCAGGCCTGTAATCTTAGCTACTCACGAGGCTGAGATCTGAGGATAGCAGTTCAAAGCCAGCTCAGGTAGGAAAGTCCATGAGACTCTTATCTCCAGCTGACCACCAAAAAAGCCAGAAGTGGAGCTGAGGCTCAAGTGATAGGGTGCTAGCCTTGAGCACAAAACGTCAGGGACAGCACACAAAAATTGTGACCACAAGGACAAACCTTAAGGGTACTAGGTGGAGTGAAATAAGGCAGATAATAGGTGACAAGTGTTGCCTAGAATACTTCTGTGTAGCCACACCACAGCAACAGGAAGCGAAATGGAGCAAGCTGGCCAGGGGTTGCAGGATAGCTCAAATGGAGTTATTGTTTAGGGGACCCAGAAATTCAGTTTTGCCTGATGATACCTGGTAATGTTTTCATAACAATGTGAATATACTCAGTGCCAGTGAGCTTCCACTTTAAAATTACTCCCTTATTCACCAAACAAAAAACCACATGCATGTTCAGGGCCTAATGGAAGCCTTTATTTATTGCTAGCACTGGGGCTCAGACTCAAATCCCCATGCTCTTACTTTGCTTTTTCACTCAAGGCTTCCATTCTATACTCGAGCTATTCCACTTCCAGGTTTTTGCTAGTTAATAGAAGGTATGAGTCTCACAGATTTTCCTGCCTGGCTAGCTTTGAACCAGGCCCTTCAGATCTCAGCTTCCTATCTAGGATAACAATTGTTAGCCATCAGCACCCAGCTATGATCAATTGGTTTTATTATCTATAGGTATTCACCTATATTGAGAAGCCATATCCCCAAGCCCTAAGAAAGTAATACAATACTTATAGGATCCTCACAAACTCCAGGATTCAGAGTAGCTAGCAGAAAGATGGCTGGTGGCATTGCACTTTCTGTTTGTCACATGTTACTGCTGTTACATGCACACCTACCTGATCCTGGGGGTCCATTTTGGTCATCATCCTGTCTTCCAGGAGGTTGAAGGTGAGCACTTGGGAGAACATATAATTGGTGGGCCATCTCGTTGTTGATGGCCCGCTGGGCACGGATGACATGCAGCAGGAATACTTTGTTAAAATACTTACCAAAAAAAGAAAGGGCAGACCACAAACTAAACATCATCAACAGGCCCAAGTGGAGGCTGGGCAGTCTGCATCTAGATGCAACCAGGAATGAAGCCTGGTGGCTTATCCTTCAGAAGGAAAGCCAACATACATGTGAGCTCAGAGCTCTCCCTGATGACTCAGAGGCAGGAAAAGACCTACTGTGTGCAGAAGAGGAAACAGAGGATGGGGAGGCTCTTAAAGGAAAGGGTCGGGCCCTGGCTCCCCCAGGTCACAGAGGGGCAAATGGTGTCACCACCATCATAGTCCCCTACCCACGCATCCAACTTCCAAGAACTAAAGCAACCTTGTTCCCACCCTACAGAAGCAAACTCAGTGCAGGAACACTGCCAAGAAGCCAACACCATCATGGCACAGGGAGCTACCTCTGTCTCAGTGCTTGAATCTCCAGCTCACAACTCAGTGAAAAGTAAACTGCTTTCCCCCAGAAAAACTGGGGCAGCACCATGGTGCTAGGTATTAGAAGTTGTGGAGTTCTGATTCCTTTCCTTGCAAAGCTAAACCGTATGTGTAGAAAACCACCACGGGAAGGCGGGCTCCAGCCCAGAGGCCCAATCATGTCATTTTTACTCCTACACTAGGTCTACTATGAAGGACGCTTCCTGTGGGACAGAAATGTTGATTCTGACTCTCAGAGCCCACCATCTTCCCTCCTTCCTAGTCCTACCCTTCACCAAACAGTGGAGAACAAAGTGCAGATCAGTCACAGAAGGGACACTAAAGTTGCACCAGGCCCTTCCTCCCCAGTTAGGTACTCACTGTTAGAATGATGGAACGCAGCTGCTTCTGAGCCAAAATATTTGCCATTTCCTGGGGAAGAAAAACACCCCACACAAAGGCTTTGGTTAGAAAGACAGGCATGCTTTTCCACACAACCAAGTGCCATTCTTCCCGTGTGCTTCAGGGCTTGGATATCAGCAGTATTTCTTAGAAAACTGTGGCCTTGGAAGGCACTAGTATTCCATGATAAGGCTGGATATTCCATTTGGATTATAAAAGCCAAGTACAAAGGCATATATATATGAATACATATACATACATATATGTATGGAATTTTTTTCCTTCTAGAAAAATCACTCTCCAGAAACTAATGGTTTTCCACTCAAAAAGTGCATCAGAGGCTGGGCACCAGTGGCTCATACCTGTAATTCTGGCCAGCCAATCAGATGTCTTAGACCTGAGAATCTGGTTCAAAGCCAGCCCCAGGAGACTGGAATTATCTCCAATTAACCAGCAAAAAGAAGAAGTGGGGGTGTGGTTCAAGTGGTAAAGAGCGAGCTTTGAGCTGTTGAGTGGGTAGAGGAAGGACCCTGTACCCGCTTTTCTTAGATTGTATGAAGATGACCAGACAACACACACCCACAGCAAGGACATCCTGATGTTGGAGAACCATCACCCTAAAATCCCTAACTCACCTAAAAGCAAGTTCATCTACCTGCGTGCAGAACCAAGGGCAAATGGCATACACCCCAGAGCTGGATCACCAAGCTATGCAAATGAACCACATGGGGTTTCAGATGGACAAATATCTGGCCAGATGTGATGCTGTGGAATTCTCCCTTGGCTTCTGCATGATATAAGTTGTGCTCCAGCCTCTCCTGTCCTCAGCAGAGTACTTGAGGATGGTTTTATGAAATGAAATGATTCACAGGCCCTCTTTGGAAGGAATAAGGGAGAAATTTCATAGTCAAGCCACATCCTTGGGACACACTAAGAAAAAGTCAAAATACTGCTCATATGCAGGAAGACACTAGAATGCCAATCTGTGCTGGGGATTTTTTTTTTCGGTGCTACGAGTTGTATTGAATAGAGAAGAAACTAAGCTACAATGAAAAACAACAACAGAACCATGATATCTACTAAGGTGCAAATAAATGTACAGAAAGCCAGGGGAGCAAAGAACATGAGGAAAGGAACTTGAGGGGATGCAGGGGGTACAGGCAGGATGGATGAGGGCAGACTGAGACAGCATGGTCCACAGAGGGAACATGGGTGACTTACAGTCAGAGGACACTCAAGGATGTCAACATTGTTGTCTACATCAACCTAACGGTGCCAATGCCACCACAGAAAGGAGAGCAAGCAAGAGAGAAGAAGGGATGGAAATTCAGAGCTCTTGGCAACTTTGATGCAATGCCCTGCCAACCCACTGCCTAGGGAGGACTGTGAACACCTTTTACAGTTATATGGGAACAGAAGACATAGAAATGGAAATCCATGATCAGGTCATCTTCCTGCCCTCAAAAGCAAGAAAGCAAAGGCAACCACATCTTGAGACACAAGCTGAAGGCAAGCCCAGAAAACACCATCGGCCATCTCTACTACATGATTCTTCCCCAGCTAAATACAGTAGCTCTTGGGTGAGGGTTGATCTGGCTTGGTTACGTTTGATTTCTTTTGGAGCAGGTAACAAACAAATAACCGAAAGGACCTCTATACATATATCTCCAATATTGCTTTTTATAAACATTGTATTCCTTTTGCAAATGAAAAGTGCAGCCCAATAGTCACCAAAAAAAGAAAATTAAAAATATGCTTTGTGCTCCTATTTCAGCTATAGGTTAATATGATTTTATAACATTGAAATGATAGAAATGTAGATATAATTACAGATATACATAGACAGCCACAAGACAGTCGCCAATAGTTAGAAGGCTATTTCCTGTCCAACAGCTACTAGTCATTGACTATCTACTTACAAAAAAAATATATACATATACATATACATGCATAAGACTGTGTGTTCTTGGGGGCACAGTGGACTCCATGTGCTTCTTTGTATCCCAAGTTCCAGGCATGATATTCAGCAAACAGAAGATGACAATAAATATTTCATTAAGGAACAACTGAATATTTGATAGTACTCTCCTAAGTAACAGAAGCTAGAACAGAGAGAAAACAGAAGTATCTTTGTGAACATGAGAGATATCTGTCTTAGGGAATAGTTTGAGTAAACATGAGAGTCCATGGGGAGATTTTCATAGCACTGAAATGACAGAAACATATAAATATATACGGAATGATGTCTACAACATAGTTTTAATCTTAACAGCAGTTTTCTATAAAGACAGTACATGTAGTATGCCGAGTGTTGGTTAAAAATACAAACAAAACTCTGGGCTGGGGGAGTGGCTCCATTGGTAGAAAGTGAACATCATTGAACAAAAGCATTAGATATCAAGTTCGAGTCCTGGTCTCGGACCAAAAACAAAACAAAAGACACAACTAGGCAAATATTTGCATAGAACAAAGCAGGATGACCCACAGCCATGGAAAGTACATGGGTACTACAAAATTGTAGCAAGTCTCTCTTTGGGAAGGTAATGAAAGAAGCTTTCACACTTCTTTCCTTTTGGTCTTTCTTTTTTTAACTTTTTTTAAAACCAACTCTTTTAAGTAAAAATATAATTAAATTTTAGGAACTACAAATACAGCCCAATGCCTGTGCTCATGGATATAACCCAAACTATTTAGAAGTCTGAAATATGAGAATCATAATATCAAATCAGCCTGAGTAGAAAAATCCCATTGACTCTTTTTTTTTTGGGGGGGGGGGTCCGGTCATGGGGCCTGAACTCTGGGCCTGGGTGCTGTCCCTCAGCTCTTCAGCTCAAGGCTAGCGCTCTACCACTTGAGCCACAGCACCCCTTCCAGCTTTTTTTCTTTTTGCTTATGTGGTGCTGAGGAATCGAACCCAGGGCCTCAGGCTTGCAAGGCAAGCGCTCTACCACTGAGCCACCTTCCCAGCCCCTCCCATTGACTCTTATCTTTACATAATTGGCAAAATGCTAGAAGTGGAGGTATGGCTCAAGTGGCAGAGCTTGGAAAGGCCCAGCAGGGAAACAAAAACAAAACAATGATGAAACCATGGAAATGTAACTCCTAGAAATGAACCAACAATCCTAAATGGAAAGCAAATCAGAATCCCTCACATTTAATAACTGATATTAAAATCCTTGGAAACATGAAGATAAGATAAATAGGATAAATAAAGTCTGATTCTATGCACAGCGTTGAGTAGCAGGTTAGCTTTCTACACTCTTGTGAAAAAATTTCCTGGCAGATGCCATGATCTTCCTAGTGAACTCTCCTATGGCAGTGAACTGTGGTCAGGGTAATACATTCTATGTTATACAGGCAGAATTTTAAAAAAATTAATGGGAGAAGGAGGGTTCTCAAGATGGCGACGGGGCAGTAGGGAAACGCCACAGCTCTCTCCAACCAAAAAGAGAGTTCGAGTTCCAACCTTTAATCTCCCCAAGAGACCGACAACAACAAAAAGACGAACACTCAGAGAAAAACCAGAGGTGGAAAATAACAAAAAAAGAAAGAGAGGAAAAGAAGAATTTCAGAACAGAGAAGAGCGAAGACCCCTCCCCCAACCTTTACTGGCCGCGCGGCAGTGCGCCAAGCCGCCGGCCAGCCGGCCCGGCGGGGGCTGCCGGAGCCCCAGAGACACAGGGGGCTGCTTGCAGATCACCAGGTACCGGATTGCAGAACAGCGGATCGCCAGGAACAGAGAAACCTACCAGCCGGGAGTCTCCAGGAGGATCCCACCCCACCCATCACTCTCCACCGGAGCGGAGAGGCTCCATCCCGCCAAAGCCGCCCGGCACCAGCAGCGCCACAAAGGGACCTGTCGCGATCGCAACGACCCGGCGGGGGGCCGCCCAACCCAGCCCGCAACCACCCCAACTGAACTCGGACTGCAACAACAACTGACGGACTGCAACAACAACTGACGACCTACAGGGTGAGTACCCATCAGGGGACAGGGAATCCATCAAGGGAGACCAGAGCTGGAGGGAATCCCCAGACCCTGACCTAGACTCCCTACCCCAACACCCGGACCACAGGACCCACTAAAACTGGGAACTGTTCGAGAGCCCCACCAGCCGGTGGAGCACACTCTGCTGGCCAGGCCAGAGCAAGAGCGCCCCGGGAAGGGAGCTTAAATGCTCAAGCCAGGAACAGTGCCCCTGGGTCAAGACTACCAACAGTAGAAGAAATTTGAACTGTGTCCTCCAGGCTGCATAACCAAGGTGGTATACACATTAGCACAGGCCTAACGAGCGCGCTCCAGGCTGGGGCCGGAACCAGGCCAGGGGACCGGCGCCTGAACAAAGCAAAAAGGGTCAGAAGTGGGGCTGTGGCTCAAATGGTAGGGTGCCAGCCCTGAGCTGAAGAGCTGAGGGACAGCACCCAAACCTAGAGTTCAAGCCCACAACCAGCCCAAAACAAACAAAAACACATCAGGAGCCCATAGCAGACTCCAGTATTTGGGAGAGTGCATCCAGAGCATCTGATCTTCCCAAGAGCACCCGCAGGAGCAAACACAAGCAGTCTAGGCTGCTCAACCCTTCCAAAGGCGGGAATTGCTACAGCAGAGAGCTGAGAATCCTAAGTGAATAGCAGCTGGAAATAGGCTCCCAACAGAATCCAGATCAGACACAGACTCTCTCTACCAATAGAGAATCAGCAACCAAGCAAAGACAGACACACCAAAACAAGATTGAAGAGCAGTCTCCTGAACCCCCATGCGAAAATCACAGAGAAAAATCACAAGGTTTACCACTACCCAGGACAGCAAGCTCACCTCAAAAGCCAGCAGCCACGCAGGGGAGAGCCCCAGTGGGAGCAAAGCAGGAATGGAAGACAAAAACTACATCCAAGGGTTGCTGGAGGCAATGACTCAAGAAATAAAGCGAGAAATGGATCAGAAATTGAAAGAGCACAAGGATGAACTATCAAAAGATATACAGGATATCAAACAAAAATTGGATGCAAAAATAGAAGCTGCACAAACCTCA